TCTGGTTTGCATGTCTAGGATCAGCCTGCGGTTGCTCTTCTGGCTCATGACGGGGCTTTAGTGGAACAGCTAGACTTAGACTAGGCGTAGTCTAAGTCTAGATGTTCCACGAAAAACGCCGCCCATCCATAGATGTTTAAGAGCAAGCTGAAGTACTGTCGCAGACTGCGCACAAAAGATCACAAAAGACGTAACTGCACCACGATATAATCATGAGGCTGCAGATTGCTGCGGCGCTCGTCTCCTCGTGAAAGATCTCTAGCACTGCCACGCGAAGCAGTCCGCAGCGAACACTTTCATCTAAGGCCTTCCTGATTTTCCCAGATCTCCCAGTTGCTTTGCCGGACTTCTCGTGACGTTGAAGGTAAGGCACCCCACGGACTTATAGGTCCTCGACAGCATGGCGCTCGACGTGATCTTGGACATCAACACGATGTCCAAGATCATGTCGAGTGCCATGAAACAAAATTCAATTTCTGTGCATCCATGTCGAACGAACTCTGCTGCTCCCACTGCACCTTGGTCAGTTTGGGCAGCACTTGCCCGACAGCTTGCAAGCGACGGCTTCGCTGCGACGGCTTCGCTTGGAAGCCGTCGCTTGCAAGCTGCCGGGCAAGTGCCGACCCCGGATCAGTTTCATGTCATACGAGCCCCTCTGACACTTTGCACAAGCAATGCTGCGTACACAAGCAAACAAAACACATGCAACAAGAAGAAGGACAAGAAGATCTCATGCACTGACACTCACCACAAGCTTTCAGCCTGGGTGGTGTATTGCTTGGGCAGCAGAGCCAGTGCTTGCACGTTCATCGGAGAGCGTCCTCGAGCGCCGAGTACGAGTCCTAGGAGCACGAGCGAGCGCAGCGTACTGCCGGTCCGAGTGCCAGCACGGGGCCATTGCTTCACCTCAGGACCGGAGCTGGCTAAGCCTTTGCCATACTTGCTGCAGCTTTCTTCTTGCCAGCAGCAAACGGTACTGGCAAGCTGCTGGCAAGAAAAAAGCTGCAGCAAGTATGGCAAAGCCAGACAGGCCACCACATGACAACCATGGCCATTCCGCCGGACAAGCTGCCGTTCACTGCAGCATCCAGGGCTCTGAAGGCGAGCTTGAAGCCCTTGCCCTCTGCACGTGCCTTCGCAACCTGGATCGTTGACTCGGTGCAGGCCACCCACCGCCAAAAACAGCCACGGCCAGCGCAGCTGCCGGGACCGTGTATGTCTGCGGCTCCCAGGCCGCCATGGACAGCTTCTTCACAAAGCTCGTGGAACACAGGACGCACACGCGCGTGGCGTCGGCAGCATCTGGGAGTTCCGTCACTTTGTGAACTGCGTAAGTTCGGCCAGACACCGCTTCACGGCGCTGGAGCTCAGACTGCGCAGGTTCTTCTGGATGCAGGTGCGGATGTTCACCTGCGTCCAGAAGAACCTAGGCAGTCTTCTCGTGGCCCCTGAATGCAGTGGCGTGATCCGAGCCAAGAGGGCGTCTCTCGGCTCCTTGGCTGCACCTGTGTTCGCGAGGATCTGCACACACTTCGCGCGTCCTTTGTCTGCAGCCCAATGTAGCGGAGTGGATGCTTCTCCCTCATCCTTGATGTTTACATATGCCCTGCCCCTCGTCGATGAGCTGCTGCACTTTTGCGGCATCAATCGCCCCAGGTGCCATGTATGTGTAGGTGGTAAAAGCGAATAGCCATGGGTCTTCAGACCCATGGCTATACGCATTTACCACCTACACAGTTGGCAGGCTCTGCGACTCACTGCGAGAGCTTTCGTCTGGTTTCTTGAGCCAAACTGGCTGCAGGGTTTCGGCACTCACACTCGGACAATCCAGGCGAGGCGCATGGTTACCGGTCGAGCTGAATGAAACAACTGCAGGATGACGGGATAGGACAACACAACACCAACCCGCACATTGGTTCAGGGTAAAGGTTGGCGGTTGCAAGTTTGAAGACGTCATGAGATCAGCTGCTACACGGCAGCCCCTCTCGTTCGGGGTTGGTCTGCGAGGCCAAACGCAAAAGACAACAAACAAAGACGCTTGGCCTGGGTTCAAGGATGATGAAAAACATCTTTGCTTCAACAACAAGGCCTAACACAACACCCGCACCTTGTTGGAATACAAGGAGTTCACGATGATGTCCATGACCCTGCCAACTTCTGCCTGCGAATGCGACAGCTCACAGGCAGGGATCAGACCTGCCAAAACCGTAAAAGGCTGTTTGAGAGACTCGGCTCTGTAAGAAGCCATTACTGTAGTGACTTATGGCGTACAATCCTACCCCGAGCCACGCGCAACATCTCCAAGATCATTCTACCGAATGCCGCCTGGAACTCAAACTCTTCACCATCTGCCGCATCGGTGCTCACCTCCGTTGCGGCCTCCATACCGGTCTGGTGAACAGCTGCCACAAATCCCACGGCCCCTAGCATTCGTTACTTCCGGCTGCCGGATCGAGTTTGACTTTCCCCATGGGCACACGGGTTTACGATGCCGCTGGCACGAACTGCCAAGGGGGAAGGCGCTTGAGCTTGAAGCAAGGCCCAGCAAGGCCTACAGGGCCTAAAGGTCTAAGCCAGGAATTCCTGAAGCAAAGGCACCCTACCTCGACAGCACGGCGGGAGGTACGAGGCCGGAAGCCGCGGGCTCCTGATGCTGCCCGATAACACCAGGTTCCATCTAACGCCGATCGAAGCTGATGATAGTGATTACAGGCATGCAGGGTCAGGAAAATTTGGGCCGGGGTTGTCCCAAGAGTGATTTCCAGGCAAATCCTCAAATCCTCTGCGGCACTCCCCGGAGGATTTGGGTCCAGAACAGGTGTAAAAAGCGCTCCGCTCTGAACCCACCGAAAGCTCCAGCTCTCCACACACGGTTCTGACTTGGTCTAGTCGTCCTCAGGAACAAGGTGTGCCCTGTCGAAAGCAGCCCTCACATGCAAGCCGCCAGCCCTAGACTTCCTTCAACGGAACTTTCGGTTGCAGCTCCCAAACACCACGCATCACGCACCTGAAGCTGCGGGCTTCGCCAGCCAGGAGAAGGCTGTGGGGGCCAGGTACGAGGCCAGGAGACCGAAGACCACTGCGGTGAGAAGGCTCGAGGATGTCCTGCAGTTTCGGGGGCTGGGATTCGTGTTCTTGCAGCTTCGAGGGATGGAGGGCTCAGCATCCAGCATCTCAAGTCAAATTTACATGCTTCTCATACGTTGTTACAAAAGACTTTGAACGTTGCTGCATGCATGACTGCTTTTAAGGAGCATCCACACGCAGAACGGTTTCCTACCCCACGGCAAACCCCTCTAACATTGCAAGCTCCCTTCAAAGTCCTTCTCCGATCAGCCATACCAGCTTTCACTGCCATTCTGCTGAGACCCCCGATTTCTGGCGACTGATGGAACACCACAAAACTGCGGCAAACACGGCTTCATGGGGCTGCGAAGGCCCTGGACAGCGGCTTGAACAACACGACGACTGTCACCAGCGAATGCCCCCACATCTGCAGCCAAACATGCTGCCAGAAACCCTCCGAACACAACTCTCCCATGGCGCAAAAGCGCTCTGCATCGAAAGCCGTCGGAACAGAATCGCTCTTCTGAGGTGGCTGCCACGACCCGGACTTCTTCCTTCTTCTCATCTTCGCCAGGACTCAGCTCTCGCCTCCTGCGGCATGGGGCCCGCGTCCCCGGCTACGGAGGCCGAAGTCGTTGGAGCTGAACGTCGGGTTGCCGAGGCCGCTGCCATTACTGTAGCAGCAGAAGCCCTGAAGCCAAGCCCAAAAATCCACTGTCAAGAAAGCTTATCGCGGCTGTGGATGATTGCTCCGAGTGCTTGCCAGCACCGTGCGCGCTGTCCTTTCCTTCTCTCCCTCTACCCTGAACGGAAGTAGGTCAACGCTGCGCCCTTCTCTGGGAGCCCTCACGAGCGCTGGCGAGGCGAGCTGCGCCTGAATTCCAACCCGCAGGAGCTGCTCAACACCGAAAAGTCGGCTTCAAAAGGACAGCCAGGATGCCCCTCTGCTTGCTCGAGCGGCGACATTTTCTTCCAAATGGATATTTTGGGGAGATCCTTCGCACCCTCCACGGGTGTCCCTGCTAGTGCCTCGAGGACGAGAACGACAGGCGCGCTCGGCAAGATGTGTGGCTGCCTGACAAGGAGAGCTCACGCATATCAGCTGTGCTGCCGGACTCTGCGCAAAGGGATTGCTCCGCACAACCGGGCCTGGCGAGGCAGAGCCGCGTGACCTCAGAGGCACGCGCCGGAGCTTCTTGGTAGGGAAAGCGAAACTCCAAAAATCGATCGTTCCGGCAAGACACTCGTAGGAGTCGACGGCCACCCCAGTCATGTCCAAAGCAGAGTCAAGCCCAAACCGAAACTTCACATCAGGCACAAGCTTTGTTGAGTTCCCTGTCAACTTCCAGCGCTTGCCTATACAGTCTGGACGAGGGAACTTCAAGGACAAGCCATGCAGTCCAGGAGTCTGCAGGCCGATCAAATCATGGAGACCAAGCGAGGTCTGTGGAAGCAGGGAGGTTTCAAGGGTAAATTCTGCGCAAGTAAGAATCTTGGGCAACCTTCTCCCCCACAGGACACGGGAGGTGCCATGAGCAGACCTGACGGTCAGAGGGTCAAAGTCATCTTCAAGAAGCCCGACCCGCTGTAGACGCTCTCGCCTGTGCAGCTGCGTCGTGAGACGCATGCCATTGCAAGCATGCGTCGTGGGCAAAAGTGTTGAATTCCACTTTAAGAGCACACCTAGCGTGCTCATCTCAAGTTAACGCGAGGAGGCATCATCAAAACGATGCCTTCACCTGCGTCAAGTTCCATGCCAGGTCGTTGGTACACAAGCGAGCCAAACAGCAGGGCGATGCTGCAGGACTACTAGTAACAGCATTCTTTGCATCGCTTTGTTGCCAACTGATACAAAATTCGCTGCTCATCTTCGAGCATGCTTTTTGCATGCCTTGAACCTGGGCAGCAATGGCCTGCAATATCATCGCAAGAGCCTACACTTGGGCCTCAGCTGCCGCTCGCTGCTTTGCCAGGAGACGGCGCATGTCTCGAGGATAACTCCAATGGAGCAGCGTGTAGGCTGCCAGGGTGATCATCCAGGGAATGCAAATTGTGAGAGCCATCGCACTTCCAAGAGCTGTGGCAGAGCTAAGCGACTGTCCACTGAGCTCCTCCTCGCCGAACCTGTAACCAAAGACCCCGGTTGCCAGGCTGGATACCATGGCTGGGCCAATGGCATTTGCCAGCGAGTTCTCCATGGCACACTCCCAAGCCATGACTTTGCTGCGATCACTGGCAGGCACGATGTCAGAGAGGATGGGGAAGTTGGTTCCAGATTGGGCCCAGGATCCCAGGATGCCAAAGCCTGCAATGAGGGCGAAGTATGTCCCGAAGCTTCCCGAACCCGCAGGGATGCCGTAGAACTGCAGGAAGACCAGGGGGATGCCGATGGCCACCGTGATCTGTGCACTCAGGGGACGGCCATGGTAGCCAAAGCGCCGGGCCAGGGCATCAGCAACCATCCCTCCGATGATGTTGCCGAACATGCCCATCACAGTGCCCTCGGAGGCCAAGATGCTCGCCTCCCAGTCTTCCAAGCCACAAAGCTTGAAGTAGAGCAGGTTGTTGCCCATGACGCTCCAAGGGATGGTGCCGAACACCCCCTGCATGATCATGACACAGAAAGTCGGGATGCACAGAAAGTTGACGACAGTGCAGAGCTCGGCGCCCACCGCGGCACAACCCTTCTTCTCGGCTGCCGTGTCCAGCTGGTGGGGCGGCTCCACGAGGAAGCCGGCAACGCCAGCGGCGACACAGAAGGCAACGACGCCAGCGCCCGCAAAGAGGAAACGCCAGCCGGGGATGTTGCCCACATACGGGTTGGCCACATTGCCGGCGATCAGCAGGGAACAGAACATGCCAAAGAGGAGTGCGCTCTGCACGCGGCCGAATATTTTGCCCCGGCGATTGTCCGAGGTGAGATCGGCGATGAGTCCGTTGCAAACCGGCCGGAGGGAGGCCAGGAAGAAGCCGCTCATGCCCCGCAGGAGTACCATGATAAAGAAATTGGGCACGAAGGCAAAGATGGCGACGGCGAGGCCCTCACCCAGTGCCCCGACGAACAGAATGTGCTTCCTCTTCATCGTTCCCCGGTCAGCCAGGATCCCCCAGAAGGGTGCTGCCAGGTTGGTAAGCACCATCTGCACGGTGGTCAGGATGGCGAAGTGACCAAGGCTGAGGCCAAGATCCCTCTGCAAGGCGAACTGGCACGCTGGGACCAGCTGAGTGTCCAGACCCTCCAGGGCACTCACGCAGCAAAGCCAGAAGAGGATGATGCCGCGAGGCTCCCGCTCCTCTGTTGGCTTCTCGGACTTGACGGTGGCCTTCTCCGTGTTGTAGGCCTTGGGGTCCGCAATCGTGCTTTCGTCCACAACGTCGTTGCCGTCCACCTTGGCGGGGCTTGGAGGGGCTGCTACTGCGGTCAGTTCGGCCATGGTACTGAGAGTGTGGGGGCTTTCTGCGCGCTGGCTTGTCTGGGACAAATACTCGAGCCCAAATGGCTATCAAGGCGGCTTCGGGCTGAGGGGTCTGAGGGGAGCACATGTACTCATGACTCCCGGTGCCATGCAAAGCTGCCGGACAATGATCCGTGCACCTAACAAATCAGTCCGAGTGCCCGGCAATGCTGGGGTCAATACCCGAGAATGCGGAGAGAACTGCATGATGCAAGCGATTATGTACGTGTCAGTGTCAAGTCCGGAAGCATGGTAGCATGGTAGTCTAAGCGCACAAAGCTTGTAAATCTTGTGTCGGGCGGCAAAACCTGTCACTGACCAGCATGTCTCGCTTTCCTAACAAGTCATCTTTGCCTTGAGCCATGCTTCACAAAGGAAAGTACAGCTCGTTTCACAAAGAGCCGGTGCACCTCAAATCCAAGCCAAGCTGAAGTCCCTCAAGCTCTTCACCTGCGAAACCTGCAAGGCCTCGAGACCTGTCTGACTTGGACACCCACATGTTGACGATTTATCCCAGGACTGCGCCTCCGAAGCTGGGAAAACTTAGGCCTGTCTGGGGCATCAGGAAAGCCTGAAAACATGAAGAAACACCGGGCACTGAAAACATACATTGCGGCCACCATTAAGGCACATCAGTGTGTTTGCAAGAGGGGTTGTGGTTCGCCCGGGACGTCGTAACACATCACAAAATCTTGAAGCCTTGCGACGCTTGCAATAGTCCTGTTTGATCAGCTTTCTTCTTGTGTATGCTATGTGCAAACATAGTATGTGTTCCAAAAGCCCCATGTCCGTCCCTAAAGGGTCTGGGCAAATACGTGAAAGATCTCCAACTCTACCGACCTTGCGTCCGGCATAAAATTGACATAGCCTGAAACAAGCTGCCTGCTAGAGGTCGGAACTCACAGGGAACAAGACACCAAAAACGCGCAATGGCAGCATAGCATAATGCCATGCGTTCTACATGCAAACTATGTTGGTGGCATCCTTTCTTCCGCCAGGCGGAGCAGCTGCAGCTGGAAAGATCCGGAGCCCAGGACGAGGCCTACCGGCAAAGCTTCTTCGCCGGGTCTCGAGTGAAATTCATTCATTTAGGGCTTGGGGCTCCCCTCAGAATGTCTCAGAGCTGGTCCAGGGGAGGCGACTAACGAGTAGGGTTGTTTTTGCCTCCTGCATTGCTGAAGGATAAAGTTTTGTCTGTTTAGGCTTCCGAGATTGATTCAGGATCGGAATCGTGGATGCCACGGCTAGACTGGCAAATGCGCTCGTACCATAGGGCTTTGTCTTGGTTGTTACCGGGGCACTGCCTGTCTTCCGCACGTTGCCTCGGTAAATTATCTGCTACCAAGGCATTGGCATACAAGTGAGATACGGAAGCCTGAGCAGCGTCACCGTTTGAATGACTGGTATTTAGTGGACTTGTGTGGTTTGGAAAATAAATAAAGCCTGCAAACCGGGCACCCGATGCCGGCGGATCTTAGATAAGCGTCCCGCGCAGCACTACTCTCCCCACCCTCCTGCCACCAGCTTCCTGGACCCACGCAGAGCTCGCTTCAAGCCCCCTTGAGCACATCGGCCACCCAGCGGTCGCAAGACAATAGCAGAACACTAACGCAAAACAATACACCAGAGGGGAAACAGCACATAATATGACAAGTGATCAGGCGAAGCGCTGTCGGCTGACACACATGAAGCCACAATAGCTCCAAACAGCAGCGGGACGTGGGGACATAATACAGTACAACATGGTAGACTGTGACATCGTATGGCACTTGATGGGCGGAGGTGGCGAAAACGATTCCAAACAGCTTGATCGTGTGAAATAACTCTTAGCACAGTCCCTATACAATATACTTGACTGGAAATGCCAATTCCATAAATATATATATATATATAT